TGGATACTTGGACGTGGAAAAGACAAAAGGCAGGTTATTTGGGGATCTCAGAGCAGGGGGCTAACACTGGTTGAATTCCTACTCTGTATCACCACCAGCTCCTAGTATTTTCCCCTCCCCAACAGTGAAGGTATTGTGTTGCCCAGGCTGATCCACTGATCTTCAGAAAGGATTGGGAGGTGCTTTAGATGTTCCCCTTGTGCCATCCACATCAACCAGCTACCGTAGCAGCTCTCCCGTCTTCATCCATCAAAATTCTAGGCAACAATATGAGGACAATAGCTAAACCCCATGATACTTCAGCAGAAGGTAAGCCCAGTGGAAATACCCCAATCTCTTTCTACATGTATGAGATTTAAGTACTTGCAGGCTTGAATGTTTTCAAGATTCATTACCAACTATCATTATAATAATTTTGATTTCATTTTGATTTGATACCATCTATCATTATAATCATTTTGATTTCAGTCACTGACCAAACCAATACTGCCCATTGTATAATAACAATAATATTGTCTTGTGCTAAGAGTATCAAGTCAAGCTAATACTTTCCACTTGGAGAGAACTGCTACTTACCGTTACAGTATCATAGCCAAAGACCCCACTGAGACTACCACTTCCATACTGTATACTAAAAGTTTGTCCATTGCTGGAATAAGTAGAAGACTGACTGGGATTAAATAATGCATGGTTGCCTGGTGATAGAAATGAGAGCGGGGGAGACAAGGTTTTACTTTTGAATCAACAACAAAACCAGGTTTAAATAACATCATAATGGGTGTGAAGGACAAAAAAAGCATTTCCACAAATTGTGTATTTTTTATTCTTAAATGAATGAGCAAGAATACTCACTGCAAGACTGACTCTGGCAATAGATGGATGGCACCCAGAGATTGGATGACCCAGTGTCAAAGAGAACCATGAAGTTCTGGGGTGGAGTTCCAATACTGATCTCTCCATAATAGGACATCTAGAAAAAGGAAAACATGATCATTATTCAGGGCTTCCACACTTGAATGTTGATAATGTAAGGATATAACACATCCAACAGAACATTCTGTACACATATTCTTCAATATATTTTAGAAATGTCTATAGGCAAAAATATAAATATAAAAATTTTAGGGGCATGGCTTTACAATTCCAACTGATTCATAATAGGGTTGTTTTTTTTAAAAAAAAGGAGGTACTATATAGCCACATCAGTACATTTATAATTTAATTAGGTTTTCATACCTGCTTCATTGTTAATTGGGTACATGTAACTGTATTTGATGTACATGTAACATGTATTTGTACATGTAACTGTATTTGATGTTAGTTACCCAGATTTCCAAATTATACCACAATTGCAATTGAAACCAGACCTATGATTTTCTCAAATAATGTAAACTCTTCCTGTCTAGTTTTCATCTTGACCATAATTGTGATAGTTTTCCTTTAACTAACCAGATACTCACATCCATGTAGTTAGCAAGAGGCTCATCAGCAACGGCAAACTGGTTGATGTATTTGCTGGCTGGATCATAATACTTGTGTAGGAGTGGTCCACTGACCCCTTTTTCCATCATTTCTTCCCGCATAGACTTGAATCGTTTTAAGGATACTCTGTGTGAGGTAGGCAGTTAAACAGAGAATCAAAATGGCAGCTCTAGATACTTCCCATATTGAGTTTTTTTCATTGAGATCTTGTAGGTGGTCTAAGAGCTTACCTAGATTGAACTCAGTATCATTTAATTAATTATGCTAACTTCTGTTTGATTCTGTCAAGAGTTAAATTTTTTCTTCATTGAGCATGAAATCGGACTGAGGAACTCCAATGTCCCCCTTTCAACTCTACTATACTACAACAGCATTACAAATTTGAATAATAACAAGAGTTCTAATATTGTCTATTCTATCAAGTTCTGGAAGCTAAGTCTGTACTTAGCATAATTCCAGAATCTGATTCACTATTTTTGGAGAAAGAAGATAGAATGGGATGAATTATCTGGCCAGTGCAAGACAAAAAATGTATTATATCATCCTAAAAAATATCCACATAGGAAATAGAGATGTTATTTATCATAAAAGCTACACAGAATGGTTGTTACTCCTAATTATAATTATGCATCTGAGCATCTCCTAGTAGTTGTAGCGACTTATCCTAGTATATACATCTTTAGCCGTAGTCCTAAATCCCTAAGAAAATTCTACCTAATTGTCTACGTTTGAGCCAAAACATAAAGTAAATCCAGTTATTCTTCAGCATAGACCCTTTTAAATTTGGAGATGCAGTTCTTCAGCAAAAATGCAATGAAAAAAATAAGATAAAAGTACTGTAGACTAAGATAGCATACCCAAAGGCATACAATGTGCAAAGGCATACTTTGTTCCAGAAACTATGGCCAAAAGGCATTAAAGTTTCTGAATGTTTTAGGAAAAGGACATCAGTCTAATACAGAAATGGAATGAGCTTAAGAGCATAAACATAACAAGAACTGCTGGATCAAACCCTTGACTCATTTAGTCCAGCAATGGTCAACCAACTGCACAAGGAGGTCCATGAGTTTCCCACCAGATGGTCTTCAAAGACAGGTACACTGCCATCAAGTCTAATGTCCACTGTCCCCATGACTTCCTTTTTTAGAGCTAGGTAAGCAGACAGACAGCACCATATCTCATGGTAGCAATTAGAGACAGACAGACAGACAGACAGACAGACAGACAGACAGACAGACAGACAGACAGACAGACAGTCTTAAAAATCATTTAAGAAAGAAAACAATTGTGTGTGAGAGAGAAACTGAAACATTTTTTTACTAAGAGAGCAAGTGAATCTAAAGGCAATTGAAGCTATAACATAGTTATACTATACTCACTTGATCATAGCCTGACTGAGGTGAAGGCATACTAATGCAAGGATTAGCCACTTCATGGTCCTCTTTTCCCAAAGGCAGTTGCTAAATTGGATTTTTTAGCTCCTGCAAGGACTTGGAACACTAGGTAAAGATTGCTATGCTAGGTTCCTTTCTTTTATACCCCGTTGAGGCTTTTCCCCCCATGAACATATTCCACAAAGTCAGATATGAGTCCTTATCAATGGATCATAATAGTTCATACCAAGATTCTTCTCAAAAGCATGTAAAAACTTATCTCATGTAGACCTATTTAATCAGTAAAATAGCTGCTGTTTACATAATGTTCTATAGGCAGAGATTGGTACTAGTTCTTCTTATCATCATTCTCTTAAAATATTTCCACGTGTACATGTGACAATAGTTTTGATGTGTGTTTTGAAAGATAGGCTGAAGGAAACTTTTTGCCTATAGGTCTGAATTTAAAATGGAAAAATATATGGTCACGCTGAAATCAGATATGTAATCTACATTGTTTCCATCCAAGGCCTGCCTACAGCATATCAGCAGCCCAACAATTCCTTGTTGTAACCTTCTAAATGGAAAGATTAAATTTATTTCAGAGATCCATTTTGAGATAGAACTGGAATAAGCAAGCAGAATCCATACCCTGTTTTGGGGACGCCCTAAATAATCCAGGATTGTACCACCAAAACCCAACATCACAATGGCAATTATCCATGGTACAGTAATTTTTACAAATAGAGAAAATATAGTAACTTTTACCATTTATAAAAAAAATAATGTTTTTAATGATTAAAAAATCAAACTCATTTATTTTCAATGTGAAATCTTCAAACCACACATACTAGTGAACTCACTGTGTTAGTAGCATCACTTTCCCTGTCATTTTTGGCAGCTGAAATAAAAGAAATGCAAAATATGTTAGCCTGGGTAAAAAAGTTGGCCATCCTTGGATTCAATCACCCATAATAAAGCCATAGGAGAGTGAGTAGAGCATTTATACTATAATGCAGTTGATAGTGGGGGGGGGGG